ATATACACACACACATATATACACATGTAAATTGGGTGGTTCTTTCTTCTGTCTATAACCTATTCTTTCTCGGATCGTGTCTTTTATTAAATTCCCTGCTACGGTCCTTTAAAAAAAAAACAACCTGTTTCTTTATGGACAGTTACAAAATGGGTTAAGACCTTCTCAGGGTGCTTTGCTACTACACGAGTCAGAAATCTAAGCCAGCCACAAAGATTAAAGGCCTTGAAAAAAAGTAGCCACGACTCCTAAGCCATGCCCCTTGCTAAACACAAGAACCATGTTCCTGGGTATTACCTAAAGTCCATTCTGTTCTGTCAAATCATATTTTAAATATGTTGTGCGTCTAGAGAAAACTGGAAATATCAATAAATACAAGAGGCAGGACGGGTACATGTTCTGTCTGGCTTCCAAGCTTGGATGTTTTGACGCAAGCCCTCCTTGAACGCGCAGGACCGGACGGCTGCGCGCTTTGGGAAAGTAACCCGGCGCGTCCTTCTGCAGCCCTACCCGACAGGCACTACTTCCCCTGCCCCTTCCCCAGCTGCGGAGAGGAGGCTGAGCCGGCCCAAGGAACTGACCCAGGGCCCCGCAGGAGGACACGATCAAGGCGCACGGATCCGCCTGGAGGCTGACGGCTGTGGCGAAGCGCGCGGCTTCTCGTTGCCCTTTCGGTCACATGTTCACTCATCAACAGTAATGGCATAATAAAGAGCATCGTGCAATGATGCGAATGCGAGTTTCCAAGGTTAGGATGCTGTTCTGAATACTTTAAAAAAAAAAAAAAACTAACGCAGAAACACTGCGTGTTCTGCAACAGGCCGCGAAGCTGGGACGGGGCCTCTGCAAGCGGGCGGCTCCCCAAGACGGCGTCCACCGCCGGGCAGTCCCACCCACCCGCCCAGGGGAGGGGCGCGGAGCCTCCGGGCCCCGTCGCTGTCGCCGTCACCTCCCCGCCACCGAGGGCACAGGAAGGGCGGCGGCGAGGCCGGGGCGCTCCCCTCCCACCCCGTCCGGCACGCAGATTCCTTCCCTGGCTCGCGCTTCTGGCCCACGTCACGCCGACCCGTCCCCCAAGGCTGCTTGAACTTCCCTGAGAACTTCCGCGGCCCGCCCGCCGGGGGTCCCCACTCTGCAGCCGCCTCGGGGGCGCAGGGCGCGGGGACCCCAGGGGCGCGTCCCGCAGGCCGCAGAACGGTCCCGGGCCTGCGGGCGACGCCCCTCCCCGAACGAGCGCCCCCCCGCGCAAAATTCCACGCGAGAACCTGGGAGGACGGGCCGAAGGGGGTTAAAAGCAGAAAAAAAAAGACAACCTGGCGCCCCTACACGCAAGCCTTCCGCTCCGCCGCGATGCCCCCGCCGCCGACGCCGCCAAACGGTTTCAAATCCTTGCGGGCCGCTAGGTCGCCGCCGCCCAGCAGCCCGGGGGCGGTACAACCCGGCCCCCAGTCCCCGCCCCCTGCCCCGCCCCCGGGCCGAGGCGGATGCGCGGCGCCGTTGCCGTGGCGACGCTACCGGTTGCTCCTACCACCCCCACCTTCCAAGCGAGAGGGGGGATTTCCGCCCTCGCATTTCCCGGTCCTGAGGTTGTGGACTAAGCGCTGCGCCGTTGTCCTGGAGACGCTCTGGCTCGCCGCTACCAATGCGAGCCGGCTGGGGGCGGAGTCTTCCGATCCAGCGTCTCCCCGCCCACCCACCCCAGCAGCCAGCGCACAACGCCGTTGCCGTAGCAACGCTCAAGCCCACCGCCAGGAGACCCGTGTGCTGGCCAGAAGAGCAGCTTCTCAGCCCGCCCAGGTCCAGTCACCCAAGATTGGACACTACTCCCCTCTGGCATCGTACTGAGAGAGTAGCTTGTGAATACTTTAGGGGTCGTGGTGGAAAAAGAAAATAAAGGGCAAAGAAAATGTGATTGTTGGAGAATGTTCACAGGAACTTTCAGCAATCTGGTTGTGTGTCTTCCTTTCTTTAATGTATACATTATTGTGTACAACATGATGTTTTGGAGTGTGTATATATTATGAAATAGCTTGTTCATACGCACTACTTCTTACCCATTTTGTGATAATACTAAAAAAACTGCCCCTTCGGGATTTTGAAGAATAAAAATAAGAATGGATAGGTGTGTCCATCTTCCATTATGTTGGACAGATATCGCCGTTGAAGGACTCTACACAAGTGAAACTTTACCACCGATATCTCACAACCCAGAGGTAAATAAGATACATATGTAGTCTAAAGAAAGACCCCAAATTTTGAAGATCCTGGAATAAAATATGCACACCTGTAATCCCAGGGACTCAAAAGGCTGAAGCAGGAAGAATGCAAGTTCCAGGCTAGCCTGGCAACTCAGAGATACCCTGCGTGTCTTTAAAAAGACTAGAGATATAGCTCAGCGTTCCCTAGGTTCAAGCCCCATAGGGAGGAGGTCTTTGTGTTTCCCAATTGTGTAAATTCTGTGAATAGTAACATCGAGTCCACAATGGACTTTTGCTAGTCCCAAGAAGTTGCGTTCGCTTCAAAGTAGTTTCCATGTCTGCATTACATGGAATGTAATGTGTTGTGGTATTCTTTGGTTTCTTTTACATTTCTGAAAGTTCGGTCTATATTTTTAAATAGCAGGCAGACAGCTGGGCGTGGTGGTGCAGGCCTGTAATCCCAGTCCTCCTAAGGCAGAGGCAGGAGGATTGTGAGTTCAGCCTAGCCTGGGCTACATAGTGAGTTCAGGGCCAGCTTGAATTGCACAGCGAGACCCTGTCTCAAAAAAAAAATAAAAAATAAAAATAGGTGGAAACAAAAATTGTAAAAACACTTAAATGAAATTTAGTTTACTACTGTTTTTCATCTAATTTCACAACAGGATTCCTTCTGCAGAGTCTGTAATACACTCACTGTGATGCCAAGCCTAACACTAAGCACAGCTTGAAGCATCTTTTCAATTTTCATAAAGAAAATAGAAGATTCATTCATCTGTAACTAGTTACTTTCAAGCTTCCAGAAGAAAGTTCTATTCCTTTCAAGGTGCTGTTTCAAACCCATCTCACTAGAAGTAAACATCAACAGTTCTTCATTATTTCCAAGGCAAATCATGCTATGGAAAAAAAAAAAGGGATGTAGAATGCTTTTAAGAATCTTCAACTTAAAAGCATTTTTCAACAGTTAGTTTATAACTAAGGAATGGTCTGTAATGCAGATCATTTGTACTGAAAATCAAGGAAGCAAAACCCAAGTATGCAACTGTATACTGTGACTAGTCAGTATGGGAATTGCTTGTTAGTCAAAAGATAAAAAATTTCAGAGGTGAATAATTTCAAAAGCACACTATGATGACTACAGTTAATGGCAATGTATTGCATTCTTGAAAATCCCCAAGGTGGTAGCTTTTGTAGTGTTCTCACAAAAAGGATGAGGTAGTGCCTATGTTGACTAGGTTGAGTTAGCTGTTTCACAGTGTGTACACACTCCAAAACACCATGTTGTACACAATAATATATTCAGTTTGTTACTCATTAAATGAAGACTAGCCAGATTGCTGAAAGAACATGAAAAGAATATGACAGGGCCAGGGGTATAGCTCAGTGGCACAAGCAACTGCCTGGCAAGCACAAAGTCCTGAGTTGGATTCCCAGTACCCCCCCCCAAAAAAAGTGACAAATAGTGTCTAAATAAATATGGACAGAAAAACCCTAGATGAAAAAAAAAAGGATGATCAACAGAAAAAATGTAACAAGGTCAAGTTTATCTCAGAGGAAATGAGAAAAGGAATTTTACTTCCTTAATATCTATCCTCAAATCTCTTCCAAAATAACTCTATTTTGGAAATATTGACATAGACATGAAATTATGTTATTCATCATAATATCCCTCCTCCTTTTGGAGTCAAGGTTTCAGCAACTTCAGTGTAAATTTACCTGGTAATTATAAGGATTATGAGTAACAGTCACATTTAAAAGTAAGTACAGGACACAAGAACAAATGCCAATGAATTTGGGTGATCCAAATCTGTGGTAGATTATCAAATACTTATTTCCACTCATCAGAAATAATCTGGATTAGCTATAAAGAGAAATGAAATTTGTCTTCGTAAACTGAAAATTTTGAATTGCACATTTTTAGACTATAAAATCTCATGCTAATGTAGGAAAATTGGAAAATAATGAAAGTGTTTTTGTTTTTTTGTTTTTTGGGTTTTTTCTGGTACCGGGAACCGAACTCATGACCTTGCACTTGCCAGGCAGGTGCTTTGCTGCTGAGCTAAATCCCCAGCCCCAATGAAAGGGTTAAAGAAGAAAATAAAAGTGTGTATAATCCTACCATTAAGAATAACCACTTTAATATTTTTATACACTTACTCAAATCTTTGCTACATCTATCACTATTGGTAATATCAACTTATTCCATCATCTGAATATAATTCACTTCATATGCTCCTATGATTATTAAAGTTTGTTCTTGGATATAATGTTGCAATGAATGCTGTTGAATAAATACATCTTTGGTGAAGTTTCAGCTATCTCCATCCGGGAAACTTATATACATAAAAAAGCATTAAGACTCTCTGGGAGGCTAAAGAAGGAGGATGGCATGCTTGAGCCCAGCCTGGAAAACTTAATAAGACAATGCCTCAAGATAAAAAATTTTAAAACGATTGGGGATGTAGCTCAGTGCAAAGACCCTGGATCCAATCCCCAGTACCCCTTGACCTCAGCTATTCAGAAGCCTGAGTCAGAAGGATAAATAAAAGGGCTGAAGCTTGCCTAGCATGCCTGAGGCCATGGGTTCGGATTCCAGTGCTTAAAAAAAAATTAAAAAAATAAAAAATAAATTGTGAAGTAGTATTTTGCAAATTTTACAATTCCACTCAACAGTCTTATGAGAGCTGTTGACTCACATTAACAATTATTTTGGTTCTGGGCTAATTGTATATTTAAAAGTCGTAAATCTTTTTAATTGACATTTTATACTACTAGAAATTTTTAAAATAGTTTTATTACTTTTTTATTCTTCTGTGATATTATCTCTTCTCTCTTTTATTCTGTTTTTGGATGACTTTGACATGAGATAGAGATATCCCCCAATTTTTGATTTATGCTTCAAAATTATCAGTGGATGTGTACATGGTACTTATGCATAAAGCTGACACTCTAATTAAATTTTAGTCAGTAATTCCCCATTTTGCATTAAGATACTGTGTCATCAGAATGAAATATATGAATGATTTAGCTGTGTAGATGGGAACTATCTATAAATACCAAGAATTATTAGTGTATTATTATTATTATTATTATAAAATTACACACTAGAGATAACTATCAGAAGAACTCCATAATGAGTAAATTCCTTAAACTGAATGAGAAAAGATTCAGGACTTTTTTATTTACAGACAAGAAAAGTATAAATTGCACCACAAATAGATCCAATTAAAAAGAGTGGAAACCAAGGATTAAGAGGCATGTTTTCTTTTTTTCACTACAAGAATCATTGCCTTTAATGCAGCCTGGATTCTTTCCTTATGCCGCAGCTAAGCAATGGTCACAATTCAATCCCTACTTCAGCTATGTAGCTACCTTCTCGGGGCAATTCATGCTGATGGCTGTTAGTGGAGATAAACTAGCTGTTTCTCCCTCCCCTTCACCTATAAATCTATATACCCATATCTCTCTATAGCTACACATGGAATTTTTGGAATTTTCATGTAGAGAGATAGGACACTGAGGCCTTTTTCCCAGGAAGCAGCTTTCTTAAAAAATTAAGTTGATTGTTACAATTTAGATGTACACAATGGTCATATTCATCATACAGAGTTTGTACCCACAAATGACATATATCTTAATTCTTATTTTCCCACTCCCCTCCCCTCTCTCAACCCCTTTTCCCTTCCTTATTTACAAAGCTTTGTTTCCATTTTATCCTTCTTTTGTCATTTTTTTCTCATTTTCTCTTCTTTCCTTTTCCCCTTTCCCCTCCCGAGTTCCTCTTTCCTTTTGAACAATTTCTCTTATTTCACAATATCTATTGTATATTTTGGTGCTTATTTACTTTGTTTCTCACATCAGAGAGACATCACGATATTTACACATGCAGGTCCGATTTATTTCACTTAAGAGTATGGCCTCAAGGTACATCCTTTCAGCGATAAATGTCTCAAGTGTATCTTTCTTTGTGGCTGAATAGTACTCCATTGTATTAAAAAAAACCCACATCTTTTTTTTTTTAATCTATTACTCAGTTGATGGGCATTTGGGTTATTTCCAAGATTTAGCTATTACAAACTGTGCTGATATAAACATGGGTGCTATAAACAAATATCACTGTGGTGCGATGTTTTTAATTCTTTTGGGAAGATACCAAGAAGTGGAGTAGCTGGGTCAAGTGGAACCTCTGCTCCTAGTTT